GTGAAAGGTGCTTTACACATCCCAGCTCCACTCCTTTCTCTCTCGCCATTCCCTCATTGAACCCCTTCAATCCAGCTACCGCACTACCCACAGCACAGAAACAGCCCTGGTCAAAGTCACTAATGACATTCTGAACATCCAGAGGGTGGGGGCAGAGTGGCTGAAGAACCGCATGCCAATGGTGGGGCGGGTGTAGCAGGAGACATGAATCAGGCCAGTGCCCACTAACCGGAGAGAGTGAGCAGGTTGGTAGGATTCAGAGGTTGCAGAGGGAGGTGGAGCAAGACCATGGAGGGCTTTGCAGGTGAGGACCAGGCTCTTGAACTGTATCCTCTGTGTGATGGTGGAGTCAGGCGAGGATGGGGGTGATAGGGTCACAGAGTCTGGTACAGGAGAGGGCACGGGCTGCAGAGTTCTACATAACATAACATGTAGGAGCAGGAGTAGGCCATTCGGCCCTTCGAGCCTGCCCCGCCATTCAATCATGGCTGATCTTCTAATCTAACTCCAGCTAATAACCTAACACTGCCTTATCCCCATAACACTTAATCCGTTTTGCAATAAGAAGTCTATCTATCTCAGTCTTGAATATGTTCAAGGACTGAGCATCAACAGCCCTTTGGGGTAGTGAGTTCCATACATTCATCGCCCTTTGAGTGAAGAAGTTCTTCCTCAACTCAGTCCGAAAGGGCTGCCTCTGATTTTAAGGTTGTGATCCCTGGTTTTAGTATCTCCAACCAGGGGAATCAATCTCCCACTATCTACTCTATCATGGTCTTTGATGATCTTATAGTTTTCTATAAGATCCCCTCTAATTCTTCTATATTCTAGAGAATATAGGCCCAAATTGGTCAGCCTATCCTCGTAACTCATCCCCTTCATCCCTGGTACTAACCGAGTAAATCTACGCTGCACCCCCTCCACGGCAAGTACATCCAAGGGAATCCGCTCCGCGGTCACTTCCCCTCCAACTTCCACCCACCACCCACCCCTTCCCTCCCACACTCCGACTCCTACCCATCCTCCCCTACACACCTTCGTACCCGTTTCCCCACCCTCTGTCACTGAACTCATCCTATCCCTAAAACCAACCACCTGCTCCCTTGACCCCATCCCCACTCCACTCCTTATCTCCCAGCTCCATTTTCTTGCCCCACACATCACTGACATCATAAACCTGTCCCTCTCCTCTGGCTCTGTCCCCATTCCATTAAAAACTGCCATCATCACGCCCACCCTGAAAAAACCCTCCCTTGATGCGTCGCAGCTATCAAGCTACCGGCCCATCTCCAACCTCCCCTTTCTCTCCAAGGTCTTGGAAAGAGTTGTCGCCTCCCAACTGCGCTCTTTCCTCTCCACCCATTCTCTTTTTGAACCCCTTCAGTCAGGTTTCCGTGCTGCTCATAGCACAGAAACTGCCCTGGTCAAGGTCACCAATGATATCCTGACCATCTGTGACCAGGGCTCCCTCTGTCTCCTCGTCCTCCTCGACCTATCGGCAGCATTCGATACGGTCGACCACGCTATCCTACTCCACCGCTTGTCCTCCCACCTCAACCTTCAAGGCACTGTCCTTGAATGGTTTAGCTCTTACCTTTCCCACCGTCTTCACTTCGTCTCAACGAATGGCTTCTCCTCCACCCCCCGTACTGTCTCATGTGGTGTCCCTCAGGGCTCTGTCCTCGGTCCCCTCCTCTTCACCCTCTATATGCTCCCCCTCGGTGACATCATCCGCAAACATGGGGTTAACTTCCACATGTATGCGGATGACACCCAACTCTACCTTTCCTCCTCTACTCTCAACTCCACGACCACCGATGTCCTGACAGCCTGCCTGTCCGACATCGAGTCCTGGACGAGAGACAACTTTCTTCAGCTCAACGTGCGAAAAACCGAGGCCCTCCTGATTGGCTCACGTCAGCGCCTCCGCACCTCAGGCGCTGACACCATCAGCATCCAAGGCTGCACTCTCCACCTCTCAAAGCCAGTCAGGAACCTCGGCGTTTTGTTCGACCCTGAGCTGTCCTTTCTCCCTCACATCCGCACCACAACTGGCACCGCCTTCCATCACCTCCGGAATATCGCCAGATTACGGCACTACCTCACCCCTCACGCTGCTGAAACCCTGGTTCACGCCTTTGTCACCTCAAGGCTGGACTATGGGAACTCTCTCCTCGCCGGCCTTCCCGCCACCTCCCTCCACAAGCTGCAGGTCATTCAGAACTCTGCAGCTCGTGTACTGTCCCGCACCAGGCTTCGGGACCACATCACTCCCACCCTCGCTCGCCTCCACTGGCTCCCCATCCCCCAGAGGATTGATTTCAAGATCCTCATCCTCACCTACAAGGCCATTCACGGCCTTGCTCCCTCCTACCTCTCCAACCTACTATCCCCCTACCTACCTGCCCGTACCCTCCGTTCCTCTGGCTCCGGTCTGCTCCACGTCCCCCGCCCCAACCGCCCTACTATCGGTGGTCGGGCCTTCAGCCTCTCAGCCCCGAGGCTCTGGAACTCCATCCCCCAGTGCCTTCGCCTTGCTTCCTCCCTTTCCTCCTTCAAGGCCGGTCTCAAAACCTTTCTCTTTGACCGTGCCTTCAGCTCCCCTCTCGACTCTCTTCCTCCTCCTCGCTCCCTCCCTTCCCTCCCCTCACCCTGACCATTTCCCCCCTCCTCTCTCCCTCCCTTCCCTCCCCTCACCCTGACCATTTCCCCCTGCTCGGGTCATGACCCAACTGTGCAGCGCCTTGGGACGTCCTCCTGACGTGAAAGGCGCTCTATAAATGGAATCTTGTTGTTGTTGTTGTTGTTGTTCCTTAAATAAGGAGATCAACACTGCACACAGTATTCCAGGTGTGGTCTCACAGGGCCCTATACAGTTGCAGCAAGACTTCCCTACTCTTATACTCTAATCCTTTCATAATGAATGCTAACATACCGTTCGCCTTCCTAATTGCTGCTGCACCTGCAGACTAACTTTCTGTGATTGGTGTACAAGGACACACAAGTCCCTCTGGACTAACACATTCCAATCTCCCCTTCTAAAAAATAACCCGCTCTACTGTTTTTGCTACCGCGGTGGATGACGTCACACTTCCCTACATTATACTTTATCTGCCACCCACCTGCCCAATCACCTAACCTATCTATGTCTCGCTGCATTTTTTTAATGTCGTCCTCTGTGTTGACACTTCCTCCTAGTTTTGTGTCATCCACAAATTTAAATGTATTAGCTTCGATGTTCTCATCCAGATCGTTGATGTAGATGGTAAATAGCTGAGGCCCAAGGACTGATCCTTGTGGCACTCCACTAGTCACATCCCACCAATCCGAAAAGGACCCCTTTGTCCCTACTCTTTGTTTCCTATCCGTTAACCATTCCCCAATCCACGTTAATATGCTCCATGGGCGCTTATCTTTTGGACTACCCTTTTATGCAGCACCTTATCGAATGCCTTCTGGAAGTCCAAATAGACCACATCCACTGATTCACCCTTATCCAGTTTACTGGAAATATCCTCAAAAAACTGAGATTTGTCAAACATGACTTCCCTTTTGTAAAGCCATGTTGACTTGGACTAATTATATTGTGCCCTAAATACCGCACTACCACATCCTTAATCAACGATTCTAAAATTTTTCTATCACTGATGTGAGACTAACTGGCCTATAGTCCCCCATCTTTTCCCCACCTTTTTTAAATAGTGGTGTGACATTTACGATCTTCCAATCCATGGGGACTGTTCCAGAATCCAAGGAATTTTGGAAGATTAGACATAAGGCCTCCACTATCTCATAAGCTCCTCTTTTGAAACCCTGGGATGCAGACCATCCGCACCAGGGGATTTGTCACTTTTTAGTGCTAACAGTTTCCCATCACCAATTCTCTACTAATGAAAATTTCCCTAAGTTGCTCCCTGTCCTTATCCCTTTGTTGGTGGACTTGTTGTGTCTTCTAGGGTGAAGACAGATGCAAAGTACCCATTTAGGGCCTCTACCACGTCCTTATCCCCCATTACAACTTCTCCCGTCTCTGACTGTAGTCGATGACCTGCAGCCTATGGAGGGAGGAGTTGGGGAGGCCAATAAGCAGGGAGTTTGCGTTAGTCGAACCTGAATAATAATATATAATAATCCTTGCATTTGATTATTATCAAATGCACTTTTCATGTCTTCGAGACGTCTCAGTGCTTTACTTGTTATGATGTAATGAAAGTGAGTATGAGGGTTTCGGTGGCCTGCGGTGTGAGAGTGGCGAAGCCGGGTGATGTTGCAGAGGTCGGGGAAGGCAGAGCAGTTCATGGGGCAGATGTGGGGTAGCAAGGACAGTTGAGGATCAAGCAAGACGCCAAGGTTCTGGACTGGCTTAGCAGGGTGGAGTGTGCAACCATGGACGGTGATGTTGTCAGCGCCTGAGGTGAGGAGACGCTGATGGGAGCCAATCAGGAGAGCCTCGGTCTTGTTGTCGTTCAACTATAGAAAGTTAGCTCTCATCCAGGAATGGATGTCTCATCCTGCCTTGCCCACCCCACCATTGGAAGGAGGGCCTTCAGTCTCTCTGCCCTCACTCTCTGGAGCTCCATCCCATAGTTCCTCCACCTCGCCCCCTCCCTTGCCTCCTTCAAGATCTTCCTCTTTGAACACACCTTCGATCACCCTCCTACGCCTATCCTCCTCACCTTCCTGATCCCAACCACCAGCTCAGGTGTGATTCCCTGACTGTCCAGCGGCTTTGGACGTCCTCCTGCCATGAAAGGCGCCGTGTAAATGTAATTTGTTGTTGTTAGTGCCATGTTCATGACCACCTAAACAGTTGGTTATATTTTAGGAGTAGGAGGTGACCATTCAGCCCATCGAGCCTGTCTCACCAGTTTATCACACCACAACGGATAACTTTAATCACTCAACATCTTATCACACAAACAATTTCACTCCTGCCCAAAATTACAAACCGTGTTGTGACAGTACAGACAATTAAATTGGAAATAACAGTTGAAGCACTCAAAGGTTTGAGGAATATTTAATGGTTAAAAAAATAATCACTTTGAGGAAATGTTCCCAAATAGAACTCTGTGGCGAATGGAAGATTCAAGCTTCCCTGAGTGAGCGGCATTATACAAATGCAAGTTGTTGTTAGTGTTCCTCAACAGCAATGGAATAAACACCATTTCAGAAGTTGGTCTCAGAAATGTCTGTAATTTTTTGCTTCAGTATTTTTTCCTCCCATTTGGACAGCTGTTGCACAAACTCGCGGTGTGGCTGCATGTTTGCTTTACATTTCTTCACTGCATTCCAGGCATCCTGAGGTGAAAGGAGTAATGGATTGTTTTACATTAAGTTGGAAGCAGCGTGATTCAGCAAAAAAAAAAAATCCTTCTCCTCTGTCCATTCTCTCTGCAATTTTGAGGCTGTTTTTCTCCTCACTTGTTAAAACGGTAGGGGGAGTGGGGTTTGGGGCATTTGTAGGATTAGACCAGTTCTGGATGAGAGGATATTTCACAGCAATTTGCAGGAACCACTGTAAAATATGGTGACTGTATTTTGTAGGTAAACGAGGCCCTCGGCCAATTTGCCCACAGCCATGTCCTCCAAACAGCCATGAGGTGAAGTAACCAATTTTTATTTGGGGAACTGTTGGCTAAGACACCAAGAGAGAAGCTCCTCTCTTTTCACAGTAATGCCTTGGAATCTTTGAAATCTTTGAATGATTATTTCCATCTTAAGCAGTTTGTCCTTATTCGGTTAATTTACCTTCAGGGTCATGTGCTTGAGATAGATGAGGTAGGCTATGACGACACAGGTAGAGCGACTTATGCCTAGATTGGAGAAGATTAGCACCCTTTTATCTTTTTTCAAATAGTCGTCTGTGTGCAAAGCAAAACACTGGTGTTACATATTGTAGACAGCATTATTGGAAGTGGGAGATTTGATGCACATTCAGAAACAAAAGAATTAGCTGTGAAACTCACCAATAAACTGGCACGTATGGTCAAAATGGACGTAAAGTGTTCCGTCTTCCTCAGTGGGAAGGTGCAAGAGGCGAGAGCTTTGTTCACCGGTGAAACTGCAAAGACAAGAGAAGGCATTATTCCTTCACCAGGTGAAATTACCAGCCTTGAAGCAAGCTGTCAACCAGCTCAATTCAATCCTACAAATTAGCATTTCTCTGTGTTGATAATAATAATCCTTGCATTTGATATAGCGCTTTATCGCGTCTTCGAGACATCTCAAAGCTCTTCACAGAATATACTGTAAAGTGAATTGACTGTGTACTTTGTGAACGAAATGCGGCAGCCAATTGCGCACAGCGGCGTCCCACCAGCAGTCGTGGATTGAGTGACCAATTTTTTTTTTTTTTTGAAGGAATTATTACCTCCGGAAAAGCAATCCACCAATCAACTAACAGTTAATAGCTGCTGTTGTCTGTGTTAACCCACGCGCAGGATTCGGTACCAGTGAGAGGCCTCTCTTTTGACCGCTCCTGTCTGTTGTCTATGCCACAAAAGTTACCTTTTCTCACTTCAGAATTGTCTTTTAAGGAAATTGCCCAGAGAATTTTTTTTCCCTTTCTCCGGCAACCAATTCTAACCATTGACTGCTCTCAATTTGGTCTCTCAATCTATGACCGTTTGAGGGACAATGCTGTACGCAATTGGCTGCTGTGTTTTGCCCATAAAATACACAGTTGCTCCACTTTACGATACACTCTGTGAAGCACTTTAAAACATCTCAATAACGTGATGAGGCACTATATCAAATGCAAGGATTATTATTATTATCTGGTGAAGCGGGACGCAGAAGGGGAAGCAGAGACTTGTTGTAGGCTTGGAGAGGTCGGGTAGGAGCATATTATAGAATCATAGAATTATACAGTACAGTTGTGTCTGTCTCAAGTCTTTGAAAAGAGCTATCCAAATCAATCCCACTCCCCTTGCCCTTTTTACACCTACCAGCGGAAACAGCTTTTCCCTATCTCGCCTGTCAAAACCTTTCATGATCTTGAAGACCTCTATCAGGTCCCCGCGTAACCTTCTCTGCTCTAATGGGAAAAGTTCTAACTTCTCCACTGTCCTCATAGCTAAGGTTCCCCATTCCTGGTATCATTCTCGTGAATCTCCTCTGCACCCTTTCCAGTGCCTTAATGTCCTTCCTGAGGTAAGGTGCCCAGAACTGGACACAGTACTCCAGCTGAGGCCTAACCAGTGTTTTGTACAGATTAACCATAACCCCTACTCTTATACTCTATGCCCTTACTAATGAAGCTCAGTACACCAAATGCCTTTTTTACTTGAGTCCTGTAGCTCAGTGGTTAGAGCACTCGCTTTGCAAGTGAGAGACCTGAGTTCAATCCCAGGCAGAGGGCGAAACCTCGGGCAAGTTTCCTTACTCCACACAGAGCCTAATAACAATCCCTCCAAAACCAAAAACAATAATAAATTGGTCATTTTCAATCTACGACTGCTTATGGGACATTGCTGTGCGCAATTGGCTGCCGCGTTCGCCCACAAATATACAGTCAATTCACTTTACAGTGTGTTCTGTGAAGCGCTTTGGGACGTCCTCCTGACGTGAAAAGCGCTATATCAAATGCAAGGATTATTATTATTATTATATTGCCTCCTATCATTTTTCCTACCTAAGTGTATCACCTCACACTTATCCACATTGAAATCCATCTGCCACGTGTCAGCCCATTCCACCATTCTGTGTATGTCTGCTGTTGGTTACACTCCTCCTCACTATTTATTACCCTACCTAACTTTGTATCATCTGCAAACTTGGAAATAGTGCTCTCTATGCTCAAGTCCAGATCATTAATGTATATTAGAAAGAGCAGTGGTCCCAATACGAATTCCTGGGGGACACCGCTGCACACCTCTCAGTTTCGAGAAACACCCATTAACCAACACCCTCTGCTTTCTGTCACTTTGCCTTTTGAAAATCCATATAAACCACATCAACTGCACTACCTTCATCCACCCTCTCCGTTACTTCATCAAAAAGTGTCAGAACCTATCTATGATTTCTGTTGGGACTCACAGACTATTCCAATCTTGCCTGAAATCCAACCTCAACACACAAGCACATTTCCAGTAGGAATCACAAGGAGGGATCCTGGACAACTTTCTCTGCGCCCCTCCTCCCCACCACCCATCAAAATGTAGTAAATCGTCTCAGTTACTCACAATACACCCCCTTCGCTGCAGACGTTAACATGCACTTTGATTTTCAGATCTTTTTGGATCTTCTTGCTGCACGCCTGCTTGAAATTCCCCATGTACAGTTTGCCAGGGATGATCTCCACTGGATATGCTTGAAAGTTGTCCAACTCCTAGAGCCAACACATAACACAAGAGAATTTGGACATCTTCACGTTAGTACTCGTGTAAATCCCAATGCATTCACTATCTCCTAGAAAAAACATCGTACACATATTTTCTTCTCCCTTAACAAATTGCTTTAAGCAGTCTGGGACACTATCTATATACGAGTTGATGTTGTCAGGAGGAAGGCTTGTCTCCTCCAACAAATTGTAGTCCAGTTATTGCCTGAGAGGGTAACCAGCAACCAGAATCAGTCAGTCATCATTGGAAAGTGGTTGAGACCAAGCGCTGAGACAAAAGAAATAGCTTGATGCCACAATGATTTAGGTGGATAGAGTTTTGTTAGGTCAGGGTATCAAGGGATATGGGGAAAAAATAAGGCAGGTAATTGGAGTTGAGGTACAGATCAGCAATGAATAGAATAGTAGAATAGACTGGAGGGGCTGAATGGCCTTTTCCTGTTCCTAGTAGGAGAATACAAAGGAGTTCCCTCCCACCCCTGCCTCAGCCAACTGTGTAAAGTGCTTTGAGATGTCCTCCTGATGTGAAAGTCACTGTATAAAAGTAAACTGTATCTGTATTGTATTGAGTATTCTGGAAGGATGAGATGAGAAGCACTGAAGGAGTAGTCGATGGTAATTGGAGGGCATTCATTTTAAAATCATGTGAACCTACCTGGGGCATATAAAATATTTTCTGGGTCCTGAAGAAAGGGTAGTCAGCGGAGAAGCGTTGGTAGCCACCATTCAGGACGATAATGGGGTAATTGCTAACAACCTCCAGAAGTTTTGCGTATTGGACAGCGGGACCTGGAAATGAGCACAGGCACATGAACGCTAATGTTCAACACCTTTTGCAATTATCATTAAACGAATAGCAAATGTTAAAATAGCCACGATTCACGGTTTCACAGCAAACGTCAGGCTGCCCCTTGTTCCGCTCACCGTTGCTCTCTAATGAGTCCGTGTTCCGGTCGTACACCACGATGAACTGAACGCACTCAATCTCTATGTCCTGTGGCATCAAAAATTCCTCATTCTCATCCTGCAAAGCAGCAGAAAGCAGCGACTAAATTACCTGTGTCGCAATACGGGTGGAACATAAGGAGACAGAGACACGGCATTCCCGTCTTCAACCGACATCCATGAAGTCATTCAGGACCAATTGTAGCCCCAACTGAGATAGGATAACTGAGCACAGAGCAGGGATTTGTATCTGGAGCCAACATTTGTGGTGCTAAAGTCTTTTCTCTTACGTTTCTCACTCTCCATCTAATTACTTTCAAACTCAATTGTTCCTTATTTTCTCTTCGACAGAGCAACCCATGATCACTTACACCAGTCACTTGCGTTGCCAATTACACCCTTTGCCACCCACCTCTCCTTTCACCCAGCCAATATATGGTATGGAGGAAGATTATAACAAATGAGCTATAGGAGTCCTGCAGCTTAATGTTTAGAGCACCCGCCTCGCAAGCGAGAGGACCTGGGTTTGATTCTTGGCAGAGCGAAGAGTTGGGCAAGTTTCCTTACTCCACATGCTCTGTTTACCTAGCAATAAGTAGGAATCTGGTCAATTGACGGATCACTTTTCCGGGGGTAATAATTCCTTCAAAATAAATAAAAATTTGTTCACTCAATCCACAATGCTGCTGAGCACAATTGGGGGGGTTGTCGCTTTTCGCCCACAAAATATACAGTCAATTCACTTTACAGTACATTCTGCGAAGCGCTTTGAGATGCCTTGATGTGATAAGGGGCTTATTCTGTGAAGTGTTTTGAGACGTCTCGACATGATAAGGCGCTATATCAAATGCAAGTATTATTATTATATTATTATAAATATGATTTCATTTGGAAAGGGGAGTTAAGATTACCTCTAGTTTTCTTTTGGCTCTCTTGGCTGTTATCACATGGCTTTCAAGGTACTCTGATTTTATCCGTACGTCTGCAACCAAAGTTGGATTCGAAAAGAAAGGGTTAGTTGTTATTGGGACATAGAAGGCACACTCTAACATTCGGGCTTGGGGGATAGTATAATAGCACAGTGATGGGTTTCAAGGTGAATCTCTGAAAGCTTAAATAACAACTGCAATAACAAAGGCTGAGGAAGGCAGTTACGCAATTTCTCACATTTGCACGTACAAGCAGAGATCACTGGGTAGAGCTTGGGAGCACGAGTCCTTGACTGATTTTTGTTCTTGGGTCAAATTAGTTTTTGCTTACCAACTCTTGACTATTCTGTTCTCGGAAGTGCATCATACATTAGCCTTTCACAGTCAGAATCTGACTGATTCTGTACCAGTTATTTTCTGAGTTTGTTGTGATCATAACACAAGTTCCCAGAAAATGTGGGCTCACAGTGTCCACTGTCGTGCCCACTAGAGCAAAACAATAGAGTAAAATAATATGTTTATCTAAAATTCCTCATCATAATACTTGTCTGGCAAGGATTGCACTTGAGGCTTTGGCTCTCAAGGTTGAGGACATACCTACACCTCTAAATCTGCCTTGTATATACTGTAATAACGATCGATTCCTGAAGCAGCTCGTGTCACATGTTAATTATTTTCAGGTCTCCACTATTCTCTATAGTCATAACAGAAGAAACAGTATAATCCTTAGAATCATAGAATCTTATAGCATCAAAGCAGGCCATGGAGCACATCATGCCTGTGCCAGCTCTTAGAAAGAGCTACCAACTAGTCCCACTCCTCCATTCTTACCCCATAGCCCTGCAAATGTTTCCTTTTTAAGTACCTATCCAATTCCCTTTTGAAAGTGATTACTGAATCTGCTTCCAATACCCTTTCAGGCAGTTAATTCCAGACCGTAACAACTCTCTAGGTAAAAAAAATTCACCCCTCTGGTTCTTTTGCCAATTATCCTAAATCTGTGTACTCTGGTTACCAACCCACCCACCAGAGGAAACAGTTTCTCCCTGTCTACTCTATAAACCCCTCATAATTTTTAACATCTCTATTAAATCTCCCTCAACCTTCTCTGCTACGCCAACTACTACGCCATCTGCCTGCTCGTTGGACTTTCCAGGTCTTTCCTCCACAAGCTGCAGATTATTAAAAACTCCTGCACCAGGCTCTGCAAATCAATCACCTTGTTATTGCCTGGCTTCACTGGCTCCCCATTCCTCAGAGAAGAGTACAAAACCCTCGTTCTCACCTTCAAAGCCCTCCGCAGTCTTGCTCCCACCTACCTCTCCAACCTCCTAACCCCAAATCAGCCTGTCCGCTCCCTCCCCTCGGTGGACACCAGCCTGATTCAGATCCCCCCGTACTTCCCGTTTCACCACTGGTAATTGATTGGGCATTCAGCATCTCTACCCCACACGCTGGAACTCTATCCTGCCTTACCCCTCTTGCCTCCTTCAAGTCCCTTCTAAAGATCTTTCTCTCCGACTGTGCTTTCAGCCGCCCTCCCAACCCCTCTGCCCTCCACCCTTCCTGACCCCAAGTCCAAAAAACCCCCGACTGTCCAGCGCTCTGGGAGATCTTTCCGACATGAAGTGCAATTTGTCGTTGTTGCTTGAAGGAAAATAACCCCGGCCTCTCTGGCCTCCCCACATAACTGCAGTCCCTCTCACCCCTGGTATCATCCTCGGTAAATCCCCCCTTCTGCGCCCTCTCCTGAAGGGCGGTGCCCAGAACTGGGACCCGTTACTCCAGCGCAGGGGCGCACTCACCAGCCAAATAGAGGTAAGTGGGCTCACTCAGTCTGGAGTACTTGGTGGTTTGATTGAGGGTATTATACAGCTCTGTGGGTTCACCCAACACAATCCCAGCCATCCCGGCCACAGGGCTGGGCCTCAGCAGGTCTGACAACCCCGGGTACCAACTGACACTCCTGGCCTTCCCTTCCCTTTGGTTACCCTCTCTATACCCTGTCAGGCGCTCTGGGGCGCTGCCCTGAGTGGGAGGCGCGGTATAAGTGCAAGTTGTTGTCAAGCAACAGCCGTCGTCTCTTTTTTTTCCCCCCCAATGTTGAGCGTTGCCGGGCAGCCGTGCAATGACGTCACCGCAACCGCGCGTCACACCGCGCGCACGCGCGGGACCCAAGGGCGCGATTGACAGGCGGAGCCACCAATGCACAAGCCCGGCCCGCAACCAATCAGCACAGAGCCTGGCAGAGGGGCGGGGAGGCGGGCGCGGCACCCGGCGCCTCAACCTAACCTGACGCACGCCGGCTATGGACGGCCGTCGCAACCAATAGCGGAGGGCCCGGTGGGAGGGTTAGACCAATAGACGGGAGGGAAAGAGGCGGGACGGCGCCGCGGGTGGCAGCAAGTTAGGATGCGGCAGGCTGTTCGCCGCTTTAAAAGCTGCTGGAGGTCGTTGGAGTCAAGTCGTTGTGAGGAGGGAACCGAGTCTCGCGTCAATATGTTCTCCCGCGTCGCCAGACCCGCTCTCGCCTCCCTCAACCGCAGCTTCTCCGCTTCCTCGCAGGTAACCGGGCGGCTGAGCGCTTGGCCCCCGAGGGCGGGTGGGCGGGCGGGTGAGGGAAGGAAGGGGCGAGAAGAAGGGCCGCAATGTCCGTCTCGATGCCGACAGAGGCCTACCTGCTCGGGCGCCGTTGGTAACCGGGCCGCGGAGCCGGGAGGAGGGGGTTCCCCTCCCCGGACTCTTCCCCCCCCCAACCCCCCGATTACCTCACGCTGTGCTCTGCGGAATTGAGTGATGATGATGATGGTGGTGGTGGTGGTCGTTAGTATTTTGGAAGACAACAGCTTTTTTTGTTTAAAAAAAACATTATTTCTGTAACGTGTGTGATTTTCTGAAGGTGAATCCCAGTCGCGAGTGAATGTATTTGGGTGTAGCAACCGAGACAGACACCAGGTCCCCATCACTTCCTACATCCTGCAATGAGAAGAGCGATGGTGCAATAGGTGTCAGATGCCTCTCCTTTTCTTTTTTAAAAAAAAGGAAAATGTTGCAATGCCCTCTGTCTTACTCCTTTTTATCCGTGTGTCCTGTCTAATGGGTTTTATTCTCACCTTGGCTGCTGCTCTGGAGTTAACGTGTTGAAGATTTGAGTTGATTTTGGATTTTGGTCCCTGCATTTTGTTCCAAATTATTTCTCTCATAAATGAGTCACTCACATTTAGGTGGAAGTGTGGGATTAAAAGGCGATTGAAGCAGAAATGTGTGGAACTTTGAACTCTAGACCCACCCAATTATGATTACTTTAGTCGCCTGAAGAAAAGGAAAAACGACAAGGTTACATTTGTATAGGAAAAAGGACAAGGTTTTGATATCTATACAATTGCAGTTAGTTTTATCAGACAGGCCATGATTTGAGGGGAGATGTGTTAGAAGGTTGTAAGACTGCATTCGGACATCTACCCCCACCCCACTTACCCTCCACCAGTCCTGATTCCAACCCCTAGCTCGGGTGCGAAACCTTGACTGTCCCAGCACCTAGGGATGTACTCTTGAATGTGAAAGGTGCTATATAAGTGCAAGTTGTTGCAGAAAGAGCCTAGAACAATACTTTCTGATATGCCAGGATAACAGGACTTTAGGAACACACATTCAGTTATAAAGAGCGAGTTGTTCAGATCTGGAATACATTGCCTGAAAGGGTGGTGGAAGCTGATTCGTTCACTTCTTTTAAGAGAGAAATAGAGAATTATTTGGGGAGGACAAGTTTGCAGGGCTATGGGAGAGTGGGGGAGTGGGATTGATTTGGATCACTATTTTAAAAAAGAGCCGGCACAGACACGATGGGCCGAATGGCCTCCTTCTGTGCTGTATGATTCTCTGAAGTTTAGGACAGATGTCTGGAAGTATTCTGTACAGAGCACATTGTTGGAAATTGATGACCAGTGCTGAAGCACAGGATAATGCTTCATACTACATTGACAATATAAAATACAATGTGTCTGAAGAATATTCATCCGAGGCTCCCGCTTGATGTACACTGACATTGGGGTTGGTGGAATTGTTGTTAACCTGATTAACACTGTAATACTTGAGATGTCCTCCTGATGTGAAATACGCTATGCAAATGTAATTTGTTGTGATAAATCTATCTCCATTGCTTCCTAGTTCAATGCTTGAATTGCTTTATGACTGTCACAGGTGTGGTTAATGTGCATTTCTACAATTCAAGAGTACTTCAAAAAAGGGCAGTGCCTTGTTTTGTAAACATTAATATTACCCTTGTTTCAAGAGGAGGCCTATCACCACCTTCTCAGGACAACCAGGTTGGCAACCAGGATGCTACCCTGCATGAGGGGTGGTATATAAGTTGTTGTTGATGGCCAGATTGGCAAAATATTATTGGACCTCTCAGTGTACCTACGTCTTGAGGTAAATTTAAAAGCTGCACTTAACTTTTAAGAGATCATCTTGATTCTCTGTTCACCTGGGCTCCTGCGTTCTGATATAACAGTGTAGCAGTGAGGCCATTTTAGTCCCAATTTAGCACCTTGCATTCATAGCCTAACTGAGAGCATAATAATAATAATCCATGCATTTGATATAGTGCCTTATCACATTTTTGAGATGTCTCAAAGTGCTTCATAGAATGTACTGTAAAGAAAATTGACTATTTTGTGGGTGAAATGTTGAATAAGGAGCAAAGCCCACAATGACATGTATTACTGAAGTTAGACAAGCAGAGAAACTAATTTAAATTGAATCAATGTTTTGGAAGTTCCTCGGTTGAGTAGGAAATTGTGTAATTAACCTTCCAACAACAATGATGATGGGAGAAGGAGGAAGAATTTGCAGAGTGACTTATTTGAACCTGATATGAATGAGAGAGGAAAGTTTAAAAGAGCAACAACCAGAATAGTATTGAAAGGATTACATGTCTTGTATTCTGTCCAGCAGTAGAAGCAATGCCTGAAATATCTGCCCACATGGTAGCATAGTCAAGTCTTGGATCAGAATAATAATCCTTATGTTTGATATAGTGCCTTATCATGTCTTTGAGGCATCTTGAAGCACTTTACACTCTATACTGTAAAGTGAGTTGACTGTAAATTTCGTAGGTGCAATAAATAATTAAATCTAGCAATTGAAACTACAAAGAAAATAATAAATATAATAATCCTTGCATTTGATATAGTGCCTTATCACATCTTCAAGATGTCTCAAAGTGCTTTACAGAATATACTATAAAAAGTGAATTCACTATATTTTGTGGGCGATTCATGGCAGCCAATTGCGCACAGCAGGGTCCCACAAATGATCGTCAATTGAGTGACCAATTTATTATTTTTTTTAGAAGGAATTATTACCCCCGGAAAAGTGATCTGCCAATCGACTGACAACTGGGTTCCTACTTCCTGCTAGTTAAACAGACATGTCGAGTAAGGAAACTTGCTCAACATTTCGGCCTGTCGGGAATCGAACCCAGGTTTCTCGCTTGCAAGGCAAGTGCTCTATCCACCATCTACAGGACTCCACAAAATGAATTGGCTGTCGTGTTTCACCCACAAAACATATAGTCAATTCACTTTACAGTATATTCTGTCTAGAAGATGTGACCAGGCATTCTTTCAAAATGCAAGTATAATTATTATTTGCTGTTTGCAATACTGGTGCTTTCAGGTCTGAGGGACATATTTGGACCTCTCATCCAATTAGTTTCATCACACCTCATGTCCTTGGGTGAGGCTCATTGACTCCCGCTTCATTATTTTTGTGGTATTTTGGAGTGGTTCTAGCGTAATCCGATAGTTCGAGCACCTATTTCTGCCCAGAATAGTGGGGGGATGTTGGTTTTATAGTTGCATCATAAAACTAGTAAATTGCTTTAGTGGGTTCATGTCCAGAATCCTATTTGAGTACTGTTTCTGAACATGTACCATGTAGCACCCATCTTGTGAAACTACTTGTGGGAAGGCTGGAAAACTGAATGACGTGTCTTTCCATGTTACTAAGGTCTCTTTTGGCTGTGATCACTGTCTGTTAAGCAACTGCTTGTGACCAGGAAACTTTACTGTGGTCTGTTCAGCTTTTGAAACTAATAATGTTGACATACTACTGTGTATAAATGTTGAAAATAAACTTGAGCAACGTTTATCTTTATAAGAAGCTAGTTAATTTTTTTGCATTTTGAAACTTGCAGTCATTTTTAAGGAATCAAAGCTCCTTACAGAAAATATTGGGCTGGTAAACAGTGAAAAGGATTTGCTAGCCAAATGCCTTTCTTTTGTTTATCAACCAATCTAATGAGTCATCAGAGGAATTTACTCTTAATGGCAGTGTGGTTTGTGAATATTAACTGTGTGCTGTTTGTATCTCATCGCCTTTTCTCTTTCTGCAGAACAATTCCAAGGTGGCAGTATTGGGTGCAGCAGGTGGCATTGGACAGCCTCTCTCTCTACTGCTGAAGAACAGCCCCCTCGTCAGCCAGCTCTCCCTCTACGATATTGCCCACACACCTGGTGTTGCAGCTGATCTGAGCCACATTGAAACCAGGGCGAAGGTCACTGGTGAGTGGAAAATCTGATTTGTTTGAAGGTTCAAGTGAAAAATAAAATGGGTTAAATCCAATTTAATGCATTGTAAAAATCTGCTGATGCATTGTGTACAACCACTCCTCCTACAACTGAGCATTAGGAATCCCTGCAATTGAGAACCATGGTGAGGTCAAGTCTTAAGAATTTTTTGTTTGGTCAGCCAATTCCAAGGTGGTGAAAATAGTCTGACATGTGGAAAACCATTGCCATGCTAAGGAGTATCCAAACCAAGCTGAGATTTCCATGCATCCCACCTATGCATGGAAATCCCAGAGATAGATTGTTAGAATGGAATGTGCACTTTCTCCCTGCACGCATCCTGCTTACCTAATTTCAGAAAGTATTAGGTGCAGGTTGGCAAGAGCTAAGGTTTGGGGACCCCAAAGTGTGCGTTGGGGTAACTGCTGGAGTCCAACCAGCTAAAACCGCATAGCTTGACATTGATAATGCTGTCTGGCAAGCTTTCCTGCAGTTATGTCCAGCTAATAATGTCCAGCTAGGACCACCCTACCTGTTAGGGCTTTGGCTTGCAGGGTTAACAGGAGTTGAATGGGATGACTGGTCTGCCCTTCCAGGTCCTGCCAATGAGCCAGGCTGGCTGAGCTGTTATTCGGTAGTGCCCTGGAATACTGCGGACCTGCTTAGCTCAGGAACTGGACTGCTGAGACAGTCACAGAGGGCATTCCATTGCCAGGCATGTCACCATGGAGCCAGTTCAGCTCCAAGGAGATCCCACTTCTCTTGAGATAAAATGGGGCACAAACATGGACAAACTATTTTTCCTTTTGAAATGCACCTGGAAGAGGAGCTCTATAATAAATAATCCTGTCTGCAACTACATATTTGAGACTGAATCTGTCAGTTTCCTTGTTTCCATTATTTGTCGCTCCATTCTGTTTGATATCCACTCAGCTCCTGGGCAATCCAGTTGCTTCAGAATTACATGGGAAACTTTTAGCAGCTGTTTGTTTGTTGTGATTTTCTTCATTAGTTTCCTCTGGGTGATGTGGTAACTTACCTTTGGTGCTTTCTCTGCAGGTTACTTGGGCCCTGAGCAGCTGGGTGAATGCTTGAAAGGATGCGAGGTGGTGGTTATTCCTGCTGGTGTACCAAGGAAACCTGGTAAGAACCAGTTTTATAATAATCCTTGCAATTGATATAGTGCTTTTCACATCTTCTAGACATCTCAAAGCACTTCACAGAATATACTGTTTTGTTAATATACTCCAACAGGTGAAACTGTTTGAGTGATTGAATGTTTTGCTGAGCAGTCTTGGCTAACTGGTGGTTTGCCACTCAAACTTGTCACTCAACCATCATGAATGCTAGTGATAAACTTCTGCTTTTATGATGAAACAGCAGAGCTCACTTTGAGCTTAACCATGAAGCATGGGTGTTGATGGGAATTTGATATTGACCCTGGTATGGCAGTAAGATTTGGGCAGGGTTATTAATTCTGGGCCCTGTCTGCTGTACTTTGTAAGCCAAATGACTACTGTAATTTTTCTTCATTGCAGGTATGACTCGAGATGATCTGTTCACCACAAATGCCACTATTGTGGCTGTGTTATCAGAAGCTTGTGCCCGCCACTGCCCAGAAGCCATGATGTGCATCATTTCTAACCCTGTGAGTTTGCATTATTAATACAAGGCTTGTAGCAGCTGGAGATGCACTTTGCCATGCCGTGACCCTGCTCTTATCTCCGAGGAGCATTGTAGGCGTTTCTAATGCCTGCGATTTAGAAGTGAGGGTCGTGTTCCCCAGAACCACTTCGCTTGTGATTAACACAACCTGCTACAGGTAGTGTGCCAGCAGTACTATTTCACCAATAACTGCCTTCCAAATGTGCATCTCCTGCTCTGTGTCCCCACACACGCACCCCAACTATCAGATAAGAAGCACATGATTTCTGGAATTACGACTGTTTGTGGAACACTGCTGTGTGCAATTGATTGCCACGTTTTGCCCACAAAATGTATAGTCAATTCACTTTACACTATATTCTGTAAAACACTTTGCGACATCTTTAAGGCCTGATATCAAATGCAAGTATTATTATTACAGTCCCTCGTGATGGAAGTGATGCTGCTTAATGTTGATTTAAACACAAACTGAGCCCACTTCTCCCCCCCCACCCATCCTGGCAAATCTGCCATGGATTGTAGCTGTAAACTACTAACATTGCATCAATGTGAGAGATGCTATTTAAAACCGAGCAACTCCGATTCCTTAAGAAATCCTGCAAATTACATCTGAATATCATCAGTTAGCCCCACTAACCAAAGTGCTCTGGGACTCTGTCCTGCGTGAGGGATGCTATATAAATGCAAGTTGTTATTGTTGAATAGCCAATTGTTCATTTTGTTATCTCCCCCTCCCACCAGGTGAACTCCACAATACCGATCACTTCAGAAATTTTCAAGAAACACGGTGTTTATAACCCTAACAAAATCTTTGGTGTCTCAACATTGGACATTGTCCGAGCAAACACCTTTGTGGCAGAGCTGAAGGTGAGATGGTGAATCTGGCGTGTTTCACTCTGGGACGTGGACAGTGATGAAGATGTTTAATGCTTTCTTCCACCTCCGACGCATCGCCTGTCTCCGCCAATACCTCTCCCCAAAAGCCGCTGAAACTCTGGTCTCTGCCTTTGTCACCTCTCGGCTGGACTATTCTAACGCCCTCCTCTCACCAGTCTCCCATCCACTACCATCCAAATCATTCAAAACTCTGCTGCCCGCATTCTCACCCGCACAAAACTCCGCTCCTGATCACCCAGTCCTTGCCAGACTGCACTGGCTGCCTATCCCACAGAGGATTGATTTCAAGATCCTCACCCTTGTATTCAAGTTCCTGCACTCCTCTGCACTCTCTGACCTCTTTCCTCAAAACAGTACCCGTTGCCTCCATTCCTCCAGATCTGGCCTCCTTCTCGTCCCCCGAGTCCTCGCTCCACCCTCGGCAGCCGTGCCTTCAGCCACTATGCCCCGAGGCTCTGGGACTGCCTTCCTCATTCCCTTCGTCTCTGCTGAAGACCTTTCTTTTTGACCGTGCCTTTGGTCACCTCCCCCCCCCACCGGCTTGGTCCCGGGATCCGCTCTGAGATGCCATCCGGCGTGGAAGGCGCTATCTAAATCCAAGTTGTTGTTGTTGTAACAGTTGTTCGATGGTTTTCATTGCAGAACTGTTCTGTTTCTTATATCCAAAGTTTTTACGTAGTTCAAGCACTGAACCAACACAGTAAGATGAATTAAATTGGATGGGTGCAGATTGAGTTGTACAGTTTCCAAAGCTATTTCTCCATTTTAAAGTTTTCAAATGACTTTACAGAAAAAACTTCCTCCTTAGTTTTTTTTTAAATTCCACAAAATGAGCAATTTGATTGCAAAATAAAAGGATGCAGCTCCTTTTTAATATATAAAAATTTGGTGTATAAACTAGGTTACAGGCTGTCTTGATGTTGCGTCCCTCTTGAATGTGTATTATCTTCCTTCACAGGGCCTTGACCCAGCCCGTGTGTCAGTTCCTGTTATTGGAGGCCATGCTGGCAAGACTATCATCCCTATAATCTCACAGGTAAGTGGACAGTCCAGAGACTCGTAGTTTCTCATCTGCTCGGCTAGTGCAGGTTTTCCTCACTTTCTACCCTGCCATTCCCACTCCTGATTGTTCTAGGTTGCAATCCATTCCACTCGTGCTTTTGAAGCATGACACTTAATCTCTTGAGAGCAGTCTGAGATTTAAAGATTGTTTTGATGTCTAAGGTATAAAATGTTTTGTGTGAGTGTTTGGGGTAATGTAGGGGAGGACTTCCATAGCAAACGGAACCCATGAAAGTTGACATTCCCGTATAGAACCCCATAGAAACTGCAACTTCACTGTTTCATGTTCCAAAAAGGTCTATGGATGGAATTTGTTAACTTTACCTAATGCTTGTCTTGACTGCAGTGCACGCCCAAAGTAGAGTTCAACCAGGATCAGCTGGTGACTCTCATAGCCCGAATCCAGGAAGCTGGTACAGAGGTGGTCAAAGCCAAGGCAGGCGCAGGTATGTATGCAATGACATTCTCCCACCGTTCAGCAGGCTCCGGCCTGTTTCCCGTCCCTGCCTTTCCCACCCACCATTAGCGTGTGGGCCTTCAGCCTCTCTGCCCCCACCCTCTGGAACTATCCCACAGTCCCTCTGCCTCGCCCCCTCCCTTGCCTCCATCAAGACTCCTTTCAAGACCCTCCTCTTCAACCGTACCTTCAGTTGCCCTCCTACCCCTACCATCCATGCCCTTCACCCCTCCTGGTCCCAACCACCAGCCCGGGTGCAGATCCCTGACTGTCCAGCACCTTGAGATGCTGTCCTGAAGTGAAAGGCACCATACAAATTAATTTGTTGTTGTCTGCATTAAGCATTAGAGAGTTGCTGACTGACAGGTGTGTTCTCAGCACAGTGCTGCCATTAACTAGTACTGGAGATCGATTTAAGATCCTTAAAAAGTAATGGTTAATTATCAGCAAATTAAACCTCTTGAATATCATTCTGGTCTACTACTACTACAACAACTTGCATTTATGTAGCACCCCACACGCAGGGTCATGTCCCAGAGTGCTAATCTCAGTCTTTTACTATGTATACATTAGAATATATAGCACAGAAACCGGCCATTCGGCCCAGCTGGTCTATGCCGGTGTTTATGCTCCAATGAGCCTCCTCCTGCCCTTCAACTAAGCCTTCAAGTATAATCTATTCCTTCCTCCTTCATGTGGCTGCTTTGAGATGCTGGGTGTAGAGCACAGCCCAATATTGGGCAGCTAACCCAGTCTGTTTGGAAACTCGGTGGTTAGTTAGCTTGGGTGCTTCAGAGATTGATCTGTTGGATTCTGCCCAGTATCTCTTTAGGTGTGTGATGTTCACTTGGTTGCTGGTAAAGTGCTCATTTATAACTGTTCTGTTGTAGGTTCGGCCACGCTCAGTATGGCTTATGCCGGAGCCCGGTTTGTCTTCTCTCTCTTGGATGCCATGAACGGCAAAGAAGGTGTGGTTGAATGTGCGTTTGTCAGGTCTGAAGAAACAGAGATGCCATACTTCTCAACACCACTGCTGCTTGGGGTAAGCTTATTACCATCCTCTCCTGAAGGTGACAATTGTGTGGGGTAGCACTCCTTACCTCTCATTGCTTTGTAATCAGTCTTTGCCTTTAGTTATTATTATTATTATTTAGCTAATATCTCTTATTAGCTCAATCGTAGAGCTTGGCATTTAGTATCATGTATAATCTATTCAGAGTTTAATTTTCTATTTTTTTCTCTCTCTCCCTCCCTAGAAAAATGGCATTGAGAAGAACCTTGGAATGGGCAAACTGACTCCTTTTGAGGAGAAGCTTGTGGCAGAGGCAATGGCTGAGCTGAAAGGCTCCATTAAGAAAGGGGAGGATTTTGTGAAGAGTGCAAAGTAACTGGTGTCTGTATTTATCGTGTACTGAACAAGAAGCTTCCAGGCTCCGGCCACCATCCCAGAGCACTTGGCTACTGCGTAGCATTCCTTGTCGCGGTGTGTCTGTGTGCCGTTCGCTTAAAATTCAAGTGATCACGAAAGAACTATTAAATTCTCATTAAATGACTTATCATTTATCAAGCATTGCACACGCATTTATTTCCTGGCTATTGAACTCCCTTCCCACCTAAAGACCTTTTTTTGATCGTGCTTACGGACACCTCTCTCCCCGACTTGTCAGTCTCTGCTACTGTTGAGCGCTCTGGGACGCTACCTCGTGTGAAGGTGCTATATACTTGTTGTTAATGAACACCACTTTGTTACAGGCATCATCACTCTGGCTCAGTGGGCAGCACTCTTGGCTCTGAGTCAGAGTTGTGGGTTTGAGTGCCATGTAGGGATTTTTGGCCTTTAAGTCTAGATGTTCCAATGCAGTCAATATGGTAAACCGAGGAGTTTCTCCCAATACACTAGTCAATGATCCTGCAGATAAATTACTCAACTCACTGCATCTCTGTTTGCAGAAGAAAGAAAATAATCAACATTTCACTGTAGTCAGAGTGAATTGTGATATGTTTTTGACTAGTAATGTTAAGCGGGGTTTCCTTGGAGTTGAATGGCTCCAAGGTGCCATGCCTGACAATGGAATGTCGGAATCAAGTCAGCCCTCTGTGGCAGTCTCGGTAGTCTGGTTTCTGAGCCAGGCAGGTCCACAGTATCCCATTGCACTGCTGACAGCACAGCCAGGCTGCTCATCTGAAATACCTGGCAGGGCAGACCAGTCACTGAGGGCAGGAAGTCATCCCACTCAGCTCCTGTTAACCCTGCAAGACAAAAGTCCTAATGGGTAGGGTGGTCGTAGCTGGACAAGTAGTGCGAAAGCTTACTGGACAGCAACATCAATGGCCGGGGCTGGTACCAGTATCAATGACGCACACTCTGGGGTCCCCACGCCCTAGCTCTTACCAACCTGTGTCTAATTGATTCCTGAATTAAGTAAGCAGGATGTGTCCCTCCAGCGAGAGAGTGAGCATTCCATGGGATTTCAAGTATAGGTGGGATGCATGGAAATCTCAGCTTGATTTGGAGACTCTTAATCATGGTGATGGGTTTCTGCATGTGTCTGACACCCGCCTGACTCCCCAAAAATCCAAGCTTTGGCAGTGAGGGGGCTCTGTCACTCCTCCAAAGTCAGCTGCTGTGGCTGCCCGGGCTTCCCTTTGAATGCTGTGCCATGCCTTTAATGGCACTACTGGCTTTAATGCTCGCTTGTACCAAAGCTGTTGCCTTGCCCTCGATTCCAGGATAGGAACTAGGGCAGTGTGTAATGCATTTACATCCAATAAAATAACAATTCATGGAATTTCTGTAAACATATCGAGTGGAATAAAATGAAGCGATTTCAGTACAAGGGAAATAACATTTAATTGAATTTCTGCAAAAACATTGAGAAATAAAACTTCAAGTGGTTGTAGTGCAAATGTCAAGTTATATGACGTTTGTTGAGATTTCTGTGGGTACGAGAGGAAACGTGAGTGAGTCCCGGATACACCAGGAACCAGCTAGATCTTAACAGGATCAACAAGACCCTTCAGCCCATTTCACACCAACCTTTCCGTCACCCTAACACAGCTTCCAGCCGTTTCTTCACTGATTTCAGCGTCCTGGCCTCAAGCAGCCTTCCTGGCAACCGAGAGCAACCACGAGTCACCCTGTGTGTAAAGAAATGCTGGCTGGAGCCTCTGCCAAATCTGCCCTTCGCCAGCGTAAGCCTCAGCGTCTTAAGTGTGCGTCTGGGAGAGCGTGACTGCCTATTACACTTGTCCTTCCTCGCTGCTCCTGGTGGGAACAAAAAGACGCTTTGACAATGACTCTCGCACACGCACGCCTTTCCCGCGGGACTGAATGCCTCACAAACCCAAAGGTCGCACTCGGCCACGAGTGGGATTTGAGGATCAGGACCAAAGTGATGACCGAAGCGACGAGTTAAACTGAGGTCCCGTCTGCCTGTTCAGGTGGACGTTAAAAGATCCCACGGAAAGAGAAGGGAGTTTTTCTCTCCCGGTGTCCTGGCCGACAAACCCCTAGAGATCACTCACTACATGGCTGTTTGTGGGTCACTGCTGTGCGCAAACTGGCTGCTGTGTTTCGCCCGCAAAATACAGTTACTGCACTTTATGGTATAGCTTGCAAAGCGCTTTGAGACGTCTCGACAAAGTGATAATGTGTTGTATCAAATGCAAGTATTATTATTATGCAGACACCTGGCAGCGAGGCAACAGGACTGTACAGGTGAGGACGCAGTGCTGCGCTGTATGTGAGGACGTTACCGGCAGCTACTGTCTGCTCTATAAAGCAGACTCTCCCTCGGCCCGTTAGTTACACAGCGACAAAGAGGAACAGCCGAACAGATGAGTTTCTGAGAGGAATTTGAAGGCAGGAAGAGAAGGTCCGAGGGGAAGGGATTTTGGAGGGGAGTTTGCGGAGAGCAAGGAGGTAGCAAAAACCTTAACTGCTCCTCTGCTCCTCCCTCTCTGCTGCGATGCTGTTCACCTGGAACAGAGACAAAAAGGAGGTTAGCTGCTGGCAAGGCAAGGCCGTCTGAAGACATTGCAGGATTGGACTGGAGAATGGAGCGAAATGATTCAAGTGACGAGACTCGGGGTTGGGGCGGGAATGAAACCCAGAGCGAGAGCAGGCCTGTGGACCGGGCCGTGTGTGTGTCCTGAGAGCCAGTAGGCCCAGCGAGCACAAGACCCTTTTCCCCTTTCACACATGGTGCCTGTTTGCCCGCCCTGAAAAGGCTGAGGGGATCCGCTGGGATCTGAAGCCAGAATTCCTGCTCCCACTTCCAGTCTCCAGCCCCTGAAGTGATGGGCAGAGATACCACCTGCCCCACTGGGTGAGGAGCCTCTGAGTGGAATGGACAGAGACTTTTGCTTACCCCTGGAAACTTTCTCCGTGCTGGTTTCCACCCAAGGTCTGCGGGAACAGAAATGGCTGGAGATTAGACAAGAGTCACTGAAAATTAGCAGCTTCAAAATAGAGCCAATCTCCTCCCACCTCGTCTACATCATCTGCGATCGCGACATTTCTTACATTACCTGCTCTCTCTGGCTGCCCTGCACTTCCTCCTCCTCTTGCTGTTTGTCTTCTTCCTAAAGACAAAGTGAAAGATTCAGCCACTTGCTCAGATCATGTGTCAGCCTGGCTCAGTGGGTAGCTCTCTCTCTTGCCTCCGAGCTTGAAGATTGTGGGTTCATGCCCCAGGTGGGGACTTGGAATCACATAGTCTAAGCTGACTCCCAAGCTCGTGCTGGGGATGTGCTGCGTTGTCAGAGGTGCCGTCCTTCGGATGAGACGTTAAACCGAGGTCCCGTCTGCCTGTTCAGGTCGATGTTAAAAGATCCCGAGGCGCTATTCGAAAAGAGAAGGGAGTTACTCTCACCTGGTGTCCTGGCCAATAAACCCCCAGAGAAAATTGGTCACTCGCTCCATGGCTGTTTGTGGGTCACTGCTGTGCGCAAACTGGCTGCTGCGTTTTGCCCGCAAAATACACAGTTACTGCACTTTATAGTATAGCTTGTGAAGCGCTTTGAGACGTCTCGATGAAGTGATAATGCGTTGTGTCAAATGCAAGGATTATTATTATTGTGATGCAGACACCTGGACTGTACGGGTGGGGACGTGGTGCTGCGCTGTATGTGACTGGGACGTTACCGGCAGCTCCCTCGGCCCGTTAGTTACACAGCGACTCGCCAGCCCGCGCTCACACGCTCGCTCGCTGTCTGTGGGAAGTCCTCTCTTCCGATCTCTTTCTTCTCCTCAAAAAGCTCCTCTGTGTTGTTCCTAGGCCTAACAAACAACAACAACAACTTGCCCTTATTCACAACGTCGCTCGCATTGGACTCGGGTCAAAGAGCTTCACACAGATACCGGGAGCACCGAGCAGCCGGGGTTTGAGGACATCGACCAGAGGAACGGCCAAACAGATGAGTTTCTGACAGGAGTTTGAAGGCAGGAAGAGAAGGTCCGAGGGGAAGGGATTTTGGCGAGGGGTTTGCGGAGAGCAAGGAGGTAGCAAAAACCTTAACTCTCCTCCTCCCTCTCTGCTGCGATGCTGTTCACCTGGAAAAGATACAGAAAGAGATTAGCTGCAGGCAAGGCCCTGTCTGAAGACATTGGAGGACTGGGCTGGAGAATGTCAAGTCTCCGCTCCCGGCCACCCTGTGAGGCAGTGTCTCCCGGCCTGAAGAGCCTGAAGACTCAGCGCCAGGTCAAGGTAGCACGAGAGTCCTAATAATTCCTTCAAAAATAATAATATAATAAATGAGTCACTCAATCCACGAGCGTTTGTGGGACACTGCTCCACGCAATTGGCTGCTGCGTTTCGCCCACAAAATATACAGTCAGTATATTCTGTGAAGCGCTTTGAGACGTCTCGAAGACGTGATAAGGCGCTACATCAAATCCAAGGATTATTATTATTACTATAGACCATCTTCCTAAAATACAAAGCTACCGTTACTGTGTGCAGTTTAATTCAAGCCCAGTTCCTCTGCTCAGCGGTCACTGGCCTACTTCATGTCCCTCGCCCTGCTCGCTCCACCATTGGCGGTCGGCCTTCAGTTTTTTATTCTCCGACCCTTTAAAACTCCATCCTGGAGCGCCGTTGCCTCAATCCCTCCCTTGCTTCCTTCAAGACCCATCTCAAGACATCCCACCTTGCTGTCCTTTGGATGAGACGTTAAACTGAGGTCCCATCTGCCTGTTCAGGTGGACGTTAAATTCGAAAACAGAAGGGACTTTCTCTCTCCCTGTGTCCTGGCCAACAATCCCTCCAAATAAATCCAGTTATAATAATAATAATAATCCTTGCATTTTGATATAGTGCTTTTCACGTCGGGAGGACGTCCGAAAGCGCTTCACAGAATATACTGTAAAGTGAATTGACTGTATATTTGTGGGCGAACGCGGCAGCCAATTGCGCACAGCAATGTCCCACAAACAGTCGTAGATTGAAAATGACCAATTTATTATTGTTTTTTGTTTTGGAGGGATTATTATTAGGCTCTGTGTGGAGTAAGGAAACTTGCCCAAGGTTTCGCCCTCTGCCTGGAATTGAACTCAGGTGTCT